TGGGATTCGAACCCGCGACCCTCAGATTGTGAGTCAAGCACCCTAACCACCTGGCCTTTCCGGGCCCCATCTCATTCATGTTTCCCCGTGTGTTCTGGGTTGACTAATACATATCAACATTTTGTTTTGTTTTTGTTCCTATTTTGGTTAACTATATTTTCATAGAACACCCTAAATCAAAACTATGTGTATTATTATGACTTTTTTTTTAGTTGAAGAAATGTGAATTTTGAAAATGTTTTATCCTATTTGTGTTAGTTTGGAGACATCGTTTGGATCTGTTGAAGAAGCTATAGGTCTTATTCAAGTCTATGCTAGAATATGAAAATGTCATTTTCGAGAAAGTTTATACAGCCTATTGATCCTTCCAAGATACATATTTCTCTTTTTTTTTTTTCCAGCAGATTCAATTGTTATTAAAAAAAAAGATGTGTTATAACAATTCGAATGCAATGATATCAGTAACTGGCTTATTCCTTTTATAACCAAAAGAAAAGCATAAATTGTAATATAAGCGTAGAAGAACGTTTTTCTTTTGAGTTATCGCCTATATTGAAACGGGAAGATATAACACAATAAAATAAACGACACACACACACACACAAAAAAAGTTGTATCTCTTGTTCAACGATCTACTTGAAACTATACCGAACTTGTAGCTTTGAGATCAGGCTTTCCTAACAAATGTGAAATTTTTCAACGAAATCAAACCACCCAACAAAATAAACACGTTAATTTAAATTTTTCGTTTACTCAAGGGCCATTACAATTTTATGAGCTCAATGAGAAGAATCATCATTGCTTCAGTTTAGAGAAGCGTTTAGTAAATTGGATGGCTACGTAAAACTATGATTATGATAATATATACACAGCAAAAAGAAGCATAAAACTTAATGGCTATAGAGTATAGAGTGTAGACATATTAGGTAGGTCTGTTGTGAAGCAATGATAAGCGGCTTTACTTGAAACGTTGATTCATTTTTAATTCTTTTTTGTTAAAGCGTGTAATATAAAACATAACTACTGGGAGAACGTGGACTATGAGAATACGGTAAATAATGAAATGCAAGGATCATTTCGAATCTCGATGGATTTTACAACAAGGTAACATTGCGCTTTATGCAAATGTATAGTCAGAGTTTGTATAGTATTTGTATCAACGTATATTGGGATATGAACATATTTTAGCTGTAACCCTCTGAAAACAAATAAATTTAATATTTCTTTTCTTTTTTTTTAGTGCATTCAATGATTATTTCTAAATTTATTACAGATTGTCTGTATTTAGACGTTTTGCGAGAACATAAGGTATTTAAGTGTAAACTGTGTTAATCCTGCCTTTAGACTGTTAGTGTTACTCACGACCAATACTAGTGTAGGTGTGTATCTGTCTCTGTACGTGGACGCTACACTAGATAAGTCTGTGATTACTTTTTAATAACGCTTGGTGTGCTAACATGTGCAGAAATTGAGATACTAAGGTTAATGAGACTGGTTTCCTGGTGTAGATAATATGGCTTTCTGGAAGGA